AGAGAGAGAGAGAGAGAGAGAGAGAGAGAGAGAGAGAGAGGGTTTTAAATATTTTTTCTTATTTTTAATAAAAATAATTTTGACGGAGCTTATTTTAAAGGTAAAAATTGCATGGGGCGCCCTATTTGGTCGCCCCTTTATAACTTGTACCCGTTTTATTTTTTCGTTTGCATCCGTACCTATTTTTTGTTAAAAGCGTTTTAAAAAAGATAATTTTGCCCTTCTTTAATAAAATACTATTGACAAAACTGTAGACTGCAGGACCAAATTTTAGCATGTTTTGATATGAAATTTTAGCAAATGAACTAAATAACTTCAGCATGCATTAGCAAAAACTCATTAGAAAACTACATAGTGCAAGACAAAAACTTAAGCATGTTTAGTCTGAAGTTTTAGCAAATGAACTAAAAAACTTCAGCATGTTTAGACTGAAGTTTCAGATAAAACTCATGAAAAAACTATAGGCTGCAGGATAAATAACTTCAACATGCATTAGCATGAAGTTTTAGTTTCAATGTGAAATTTTTCACGAATGAGGTTGCGGATCACGCGATTAATGAGTGATGCAGATTTTATATCTTTTGTCAGGGGTGTAATTGTTATATTGTTATAGATTTTTTGTCAGGTGGCTACCAAATCAATAATTTTTAAAAATAAGGTACAAGTTAATAGGTGACACAAATATAAGGTACAACTGCAAATCCCCAATTTTAAAGAGACTTGACAAGAAAGCCCAATTTAAAGACCCAAAAGCCTCCACGAGTAACATAAACCAGTGGGCCCATTTCCTCCACGAGCCCAATACAAAACCCTAATCTAATTCATACATATATATTGTATCATTTACTAAAACATTTTGGGTTAGGTCATTTTCCAGCAGAAGAGTGGGAGTAAACCAAACAAAAGCATAACAATGAATGCGGCGCCAGCGGCGGCGGAATCAGTGCAATGTTTCGGGCGGAAGAAGACGGCGGTAGCAGTAACACACTGCAAGCGCGGTCGTGGCCTGATTAAGATCAATGGTGTACCAATCGAGCTCGTTCAACCCGAAATCCTCCGGTACAAAGCCTTCGAACCAATCCTCCTCTTAGGTCGCCACCGATTCGCCGGAGTCGACATGCGAATCCGCGTCAAAGGAGGAGGTCACACTTCTCAGATCTACGCTATTCGTCAGTCCATAGCGAAGGCGCTGGTTGCCTTTTACCAGAAGTATGTGGATGAACAGCAGAAGAAGGAGATT